AAAATTTGAATTATTCTCAGTGTTGTGCTGAAAATGACAGCAATCTGTGAAAATCTGCTCACTGCAGGCAGGATGTGTTCAAAATGTGACAAATAGGCAGAGAAAAGAAAAGAAATAAATCAGATTTAAAAAGACTGGAAGGGGACAAAGACAAAAACAAATCTTTTTAAGAACACATAGAAAGGAGTTGACATGAGACAACATGAGTTCATGCTGTAAATGTCAGATTTGCTTTATGGGTTTGAAGCAACTAAACTGCGTAAAAAACACTGCATGGACCCAAACACAAGAAAGATAAACTGATAATTATATCACATTATTGAAACTTCTTTTTAACTTCATTATGATGCTGAAAAGTGCTTTATAATGTGTTTCTTGTTCACCCATTAGCACACTCATACAATTCCAAGAGGTATTTTCTGATTGGAGGCTGATTAGTTGATGTTCGTGGTAAGACATACTGAATATACAGTATATATAAATATATATATTTGTTCATGGGATCTTTTGATTTACAGGATTTATCTGTACTCAAATGTATTCATGGAGGCCAGAGTGGGCCACATCAAATCCTACCTGAAACCACCGACTGAGTCAAAGGCTTTATACAGTACAACTGTTAATTTACATTGGCTGTAATGACTACTGGTTAAGTCAAAGAGTGGTCATTAAAATTAATGTTTTGAGGTGTAACTTTACTAAAAGAATGTTGGACTTTGATGTCTTCTTTGTTCCCCTTCTTAATTGGACCAGCAATTACATGTTTAGCTGCATAACAATGTTGGCTGATTAATGGTTCCCAATTGGCATCACACCACCTGTATTCAAGCACTGCTCTGCCATTTAGGTAGGATTCAAGTAGGGTAATGTAACTAAAAGGAACTTTCCACTAAACTGATCGTACTTGAGAAAGTGATAATAGTTTATTGTTGGGTCAAAGAGTGCAAAACAGCACAGATGAGTCTGTAAAGTGACGTTTTCATTATTTCCAGAGATTCTGAAAAAAATATTGGTGAACAGACTTTTCAACTTACTATCCAATGTTGATGAGGATGGACACAAGACAGTCTTAGATCTCAGTGCTGGATTTAGTACAACTGATCACAATATTCTTTGACAGAGGATTGTACAAGATACTGGGATTACAGAAAAAGATCTAAAATGGTTTAAATATGTTTGTTTTATTTCTTCCAATTTGATCATGTTAATAATAAATCGCTATATACCAGAGTTAGTCATGGAGTTCCTCAGGGTTCAGTGATTAGACAATCCTTTTTACTTTTTTTATGCAACCAGGGTTAGGAGACGATACAGGATAAATTTTCTTTGTTATGCTGATGAAACTCAGTTACGGTGTATTTATCCATGTATTTAACACATCTAGGSTGTTAAGGTGTGATGAGGAATGAACCGAAGTCTGGATGGAGGATGGAGTAAAAAGTAAAATGATTTATTTAAATCAAACAAGATGCCGACAGGGCAGCTAAATAAACAAAAGCTCAAGGAATGAGGTCACAACAAGGGGATCATAACAGGAGGTAATAACCAAACAATGAACAATGAGGATGTGGAGAACTGAACCAGAATACATACAAACAGAGGAAATGAGGAGATGAACAACAACTGRGGAAGATACTGATTAGCAATGAGTGACAGGTGAGTGATTACGCAGACAAACTGACAGACTGAGGAGAGATGAGAGTAATGACACAGAGAGAACACACGAGTGAGATATAACACAAGACAGACAACACATCCTCACATATGCTGGACTACAGTCCTAAGAAGACTTTGTTGTGAACTGAATTAATATACATAAACTGAATTGAGTTGAATTCATGTAATTTTACTTGCACACACATGGTGTTTTATTCTCTCAGTCACAGAATACTGTTTTAATGGAATCAACGTCTGAGCTTAAAATCTTCAGTCTGAATTGACTGAGGACAATTTAATATAGAACAACTTAAAGGAATAGTTTGGCCAAACTGAAGCAGCCAAATGTTGTAAAAGTTTTGAATAATTAAAATCTTATTTGTTATGTGTGCAGCTTCTTAAATAGTTTCAGATTGGAGAAGGTTTTGAGAAGCATGTTCATTTCGACCATATCGACAAATATGGATAGCATGGTAAGATATCTCCCAGTCATCCTCACAGACACACACATCAGTGTTATGCWAATTTATTTATTAATGTGGTGTAATCCAGCTAAAGAACACAGATCGTAATATAAGTTAAGAATGCACAGATAAACCAAACAACCAAACAAAACAATGTGAGTTTTTCAGTTTACAGACAACAACTGTGTTTGTGTACTTTTGAGTGTTAGAATTGCATTGTCTTTGAGTGATAATCTTTTATTCCACTGTTAAATTCCCTTTTGTTCAGAAAGCTATCATCTGTAAAGTGGCTCACACAAATACATAAAAAATAAACTTTATCAGAGGGTTACTTCCAAAATTGAAGTCCAAGCATTTTTTTAAAGAACAGTGTCATCCAGACGTCTATAAAGTACTTGAAAAAATAACTAAGTAAAAGTAAAATTATATGAATAGAAAATGACTTTGGTAAAAATAAATTTCACTGATGAGAAAAATACTCAAGTAAAAGTCATAGAACTGTTCACAAAAATTGTGAAAGTAAAAGTACAAGTACTTTTACACACTCTCTAAGAAATAAACTGTTAATTTACTGAACCAAACTGGTTCCATTAAGCCAGGCTGAGTAAATTGAGCAATATATGTATTTTATTTGGTCACTTTACTCAACTAGGCTTAGTGGAGTCAGTTGACATGACCTTTTAAAGTAAATTCAACACTTCATTTTTTAGAGCACATAAACAGCTTCTTTCATGATGAGTTTGAACATATTTAATTTTCTAAYAAGTAACAAGGTGTTACATTTTAAAGTAAAGAAGTAAAAGTATCATTTTTATCTTTGAAATGTAACGAAATAAAAGTAAACGTAGCTATTTAAATAAATAATTGATAAAATTCCAAATCCTCAAAAAAACTGCTTAAGTACTGTAACAAAGTAAATGTACTTAGTTACTATAAACGTCTGGTGTCATCCTTGGGAAGCTTAAAATGAGAGTAGTCTCCTTCTCATCTGAAAATCCATTTCCTCGAAGGCATTTTTTTAATCCGAAAAGACGAAGTGAGAAGTAGTTAGTATTGGAGCTCAGCAGACGCGGTTTCACCAGGTGTTTGTTTGCTAGTTAGTTGTTTTTGCCGATAGCCTGCAGGAGTCATGGGGCCTGCCAGTGGGTGGGGCAGGTGTGCTCTTTGATGAGGAAGCTCGGTTCGGAGACACAGCCCAGAGGAGGAGCTGCTCCTAAAAGGTGGTTCTCTTTCATAGCATTCGTTTCGAGTCTCACGTTGGGAACGCCTTCGGCGTGATCTCATCAGAAGCTCATATTACATTACGCCAGCCAGGATTGGTTGGAAATCAGCCTGTCAGTGACAAGGAGGGCCAAGACCCTCCCCCTATTATAGGGCTGTTCCTGCACTGATAGGTTATTCAAAAATCTCTTCTCGCAATGAGCAGAAGTTCCACCAGCTCTCTCCAGTTACTGCCTCTTCTCAGAGCCTAGCTAAACTGTCCATAGACTCATGCACAAGCGTGGTCGCTGGGCGCTTTGCTCTGGGTTAGCACAGCACCGCACAGAGTGTCTGATTATCGCTAGCAAAACAGTAAAAAAACTAGCAATACTTATATAAGTAGCAATACTTAAAAAAAATTAAGTAGCAATACTTTAACAGTTTAAGCTACCCCAACGGGAAGTTGCAACACTCCCCCCCAAGCCTAGCCATACCTGGTTAGCCTAGCTGTCACCAGCTAAAGTAGCTTCAAACATCTCCCTAGAACATGGAGGCCGCGGGGGCTTCAGCAAAACCAGTGGAGAGCCCAAAGCCACGGGCCTGCCCGTGTGGCAATAAAATATCAAGCTGGGACATCCACCCAACCTCTGTGGTGTGCCTCGGCTTGAACACGCCCAAGCATCCCTTGAGTCGGCGAAGGAGTGTGTGCACTGCAGCCGGTTCTCCCTCAAGGTGCTCCGTCGCCGTCTGGCCCGTCAGTTGACACTGTCCAGCGGGGACCTGGTGCTGGCTTCGACAGCTGCCGAACAGGACCCAGCCGACTTGGTGGTTTCCCAGGTCTCTGAACCTGAAGCTGGAACAAGTTGGGGCGACTTGCTCGAAACTGCAGACCCGCTTCCATCCGAAACGATGGAGCAGGCTTTCACTTCGAGCTCATTGGATTACTTGGCAGGAGGCGAGCTCTCCAATGACTCGGAGCTCCCTTTCTCAGATGACGAGGAGGATTATGATCCGTCTGCCCAGCAGCCAGGACAGGTTGTAAAATCTGCTCTTTCTGATGCGGGCCGACCTGGTCATGAAGACCCATCCTCGCCAGAGCTGGATTTAGACCTGCATGACGTGTGTAAATGCGCCGCTGCGAAGCTTGACATCCCGTGGCCTGAGGTCCAAGCTGAGGCGGTCCGTTCACGTTTCGACTGAAAGAAGCTGCCTAAAGCAAAGAAAACAGGCAAACAGCTCCTGCCGTTTCCCCCCAAGCTGCTGGAAGAACTGTCCATCTCCTGGCACAGCAAGCCTTTCAAGGAGAAGCACCCGGTGGCGGGCAKCTCGGTGCTGGACTGTGTGGACATGGAAAAATGCGGTCTCTGCCAAATGCCTCCAGTCGAGCCTGCGGTCGCAGCGAACCTGCACCCGAAGACTTCCATGTYGGCAGGTGGCCCCGCTCTCCCCTCCAGAGCAGACCATTTTCAGTCCAGCCTGAATGAGAAGTCCTATAAAGCGGCTGCGCTGTCAGTCCGGGCTCTGAATGCTTCCTCCATGCTCATGGYGTATCAGGCGGAGCTAGAGGAGCAGATGACCRCCTCATCAGATGCTGCTCTGTGGGACGAAGTCTGCATCATCACGGACCACTGTCTCCAGCTGCACAAAGTGGCGATCCAGGCTATGGGCAGAACCATGGGGCTGATGGATCTGCAGGAGCGGGCMAGGTGGTTGAATCTCACCACTCTCTCCACAAAAGMGAAGGAGGACCTCCTYGACACTCCCATCACTCCGCAGGGTCTGTTYRGCTCYGCGGTCACCTCGATGCAAAAGAGGTGGGAGGAAAAGAAAAGAGATGACGAGRCCCTGAAGCTGTGTCTCCCCAGGCGCACGTTCGYCTCCACCACCGCARCTCCACCRCTGCAGCGTCAAACCTTCGCTCAGGCCGCRGCACGCTTGCCCCCCACCTTTAGGATCCCAAAACTGCCAAAGGTCCAGRKAGCCCCACAAGCGCCGCAAAAACCCTCCAAAGTCCCGTGGCAGCGGAAGCCCGAGGGCCCCCGCCCCGACCAACCGCCACCACCCACCTCCACTCAGGTGGTCAGGAGGAGGAAACGGCTGGCCTGACTTCCTCCATGGATGGAGGGAACGAGCTGGAATCTCTTCCCTCCACAGTTCTGTTCAGCAAAGTTCTGTGCGTGTCCGAGAGGATGTTCGAGCCTGCTCAGCGCGCCACGAAGTTCACAGGACGCAATGTTCACGAGGAACCCCGCAGCGGCCCTCAGCAGTGTCACACAAGCACATTTATCTTTTGTCAAAAAGAAATAAATGTTTACAAACTGTCGCATCCAGGCTTCAAGCCGAGGGCACAGTTAAAAATAAAAATGTTGAAAAACACAAACATGAGCCAATTCGGGGATTTAGTCCCTCCTTTTTCAGAAGGAGCGAGACTCTTCCCCGAATCGGACAGAACTGYGAAAAACCTAAGTCCACGYGCATGCGTACTGCAGGCYGAAACMTTTTCCAATCCAGAGCCGCTATAGAGGGCAGTCTCCGCCCACGTTTAACAAACTGGCCGGCCAGCCGCCTGACAGTGCAGCTGGAAAAGTGGACAGAATGTACAAACTCCGAGTGGGTTTTGAAAACAATAAAAAGGGGTTACAGGCTACAGTTTGCAACACCCCACCCCCCATCCCCCACCGAGTATAGACGATTGGCTGGTCGCAGCACCCTCCCAGCAGGAGGCTGTGAATCACACAGCTGCATTAATACAGCACATGATGGAGCTGGGCTTCAAAATAAATATGGAAAAGAGTGTTCTGCGTCCTTCTCAGAACA